ATAAACTTTGTCATTATGCAAGCAAAATTATTTTCTGGGTGCCTATCCAGATCTGCTTGAAGCAACAGAAAGGCCACAACATGAAAGCAATTTATATTTACCAAATATTTTGACCATAGTTGTGTCCTTTTTTTTCCTTTGTCCTTTTATTCCTATGTTCTGATCTCATTCCTGTGAGCCATGCTCTTTATGACACCAGAGGGACTACTCTCATGGAGGGATTGATGTCGTTAAAAATCCCTCCTCGCTGCTTTGAACACTCTAATGCTTTATTCTCATTATGTTAGCATAGTAGGGAACATGTAAAGACATGCTTCATTTTGGATGTTTCCTCCCTACATGGTTTTTGGCAGATGGTTTTATTTTCAGGTTTCTTTGTTGTCCTGTTGTTCTTACAAGGCGTGGCCAGTAACTGACTCAGTCATCTCATGGCTTTCTGGCTTCTATGTGCGCTCCATCGCCATTCTTAATAGGGACACTATAAATGAATAAATCATAAATAACAACATTTGCTCGTCAGTTTTGTTTGGATTTTTTGTTTCTTATACAGATAACGCGATAACATAAGATTAATATTTTATACTACACGCACAAAGAAATTTCTATATGGTTTAACAATAAAAGATGAAGTACTGCAGACATTGATGCAGGCATGAATTTATTGCAATTTCACTAATTCTTATTTGTTGTTTGTGTCTAGTGTAATGTAAGGATGGAATTAAAACCTGTCTTGACCCTCTATACGTAGGGAGAGCTTTGTGGGGAAAAAAACAAATAGAAAAAAAGAGGTAAAAAAAACCTGAGTAGTGAAAGAGAAAAGACAAAAAAGAAAAGAGGGGGAGAAAGGAACAGAGTTCCTAATACTCCACAAAGTATTACATAAAACTTTTGTAGGGTTCATTCTCAGATTCAATTTCAAGATTTGTAGTTTGGTCTTGAAGACAGATGGGTAAATGCTTCTGAAAATAAATGCCATTGGGAAGGACTGTGTTTCAAATTGAACCAATTTATAACAAGTGCTGAAGCTTGCAGCAGAGTTCAACACCTTTTTATCTCCAGTTATTAGAAAAGAAAATGAAAATAACCAAAACTTATATTGAGAAGAGGCCAGGACATCTGCTGTGGCAGGTACACCACTGAGAAATTGGAAGACCATGAAAAACTGCTGGAGTAAAAGAATCCCTTTTGCTCAACAAGACTTGGGTGGGACTCGGTGACATAAAAATACATTAAAAGATGAGCCAGGATAAAGACAACTGGAAATCCTTGTTTATTCCATAAGTAATATTTAATGTTATGGGAAGTACTTGGAAGATTTTGTTGCCACCTGTTCCTGTTTTACAAGGAAATCAGGAACATATTATAACAAAAGAAAAAGTGCTTTGTCATTTATTAAGAACTTTTGTAGAGAGCTTCATCCCAGTAAGGACCAGAGGGCTTTTTTTCAGTCAAATCTTATTTGCTTCAATCATGGGCAATTTATCAGAGATTACTTTGTAATATCTCTGAATAGCTGTAACATTCCAAAGAATGAAAATCAAATCATCTTTTCGGGACTCTATTTATAAGCTCTTGTGTGTTTCTTTCTGTCATGCCGTCAACTCATCCTGGTTTCAGCTGAATCTCAAAATAAAGGGATTCAGAAGAGATTATGCTTTTGTACATGTGCTCTATGTCCTTTCTGGGAAGAATTTTAGGAAACTGAGTTGGAACAGCTTCTCTCTTGAGAACTGTCCACCATGAAGACAGGCCCTTGGGAAACATCAAACAAGGAAGGTCTGCTAGCCTGGATTGGTCCCACCTTACACTTGAACACATAAAGTCCCTCCACATTGCACATGCTTTTCAGTGATAACGAGGTGGCCCATTCTTAATAATAATGTTTTAGAAATTAACTTTGAATGTTCAGTTCTAATGTTCAGCTGAATATTGCTTTCCAAACTACAGCAACAAACTACATAACTGCAACTTGAAATGGTATCAGAGGGCAGATTTCTTACATGACATTAAATAGGAGCGATAAGAACTGCCTCCTGATATTTCAAAATTAGCTTCACATCACATCTACTAATCAGCTTCCATAACGTTTCCTGTTGAGCTAAGGTTACATACAGTAGATGGTCTGATACTAAAAAGGCTGATGACACTGTAAGCCAGGAATCTGCAGGATCTGTTTTTCACTATCATTCTGTACTAAAAATTGCTTCCATCTTGCAGAAAAATGGCATATCATCTCACTTTGGTGTTTATGATCATTAATCATATGAAAGTAGTACCCCAGATTGTTAGTATGCTAAAAGTAAAGCTTTTTATATAGCTTTGTTCATAAAAAACAGACTCTGTTCTAAAATGCTTACAATAAGCATTTATTAATACATTTGCAGATAAGCATTAGGAGTATATGAATGCATAATAAACATGATTAAGGTCACATGGAGAGTCCATTGGAAACACTATTTGCTCATAAATTTCCCTACTCCTCACACAAAATCTTTGCTTCAAAAATAAGTTCTCTTGTTATGCGTCCAAGAACAATATTATAAACTATGCTACCATATCTTAGTTTCACTTGAAAGTGTCTTTGTTTTGAGAATTCACGTCATATGTTATTTCCAAATGTGTGTTATCTAGTGCTAACAGTTGCTCAAGCTGTCTTGAATTTTTCATGGCTTTATACATTCTATGGAATTTTTCAAATTGAAGTTATATTCACTTTGCTGTGGATTCACACTCCAACAGCCCAGCTGCATGTGTGGATACTTCACTGCACGGGGGTAACACCCTGTTCATGAATGCTGATTCCTGCAGTGTCTCCCATAAAACGGTGACTCGCTTTCCCATTGCACTAACTTTCCAGCAACATGAGCTCCCAAAGATATTTCTGGCATTGTGGCAGCCTGGAGCATTTAACATCCCTGCAAGGACCATGAAGGAAAAGGACACCACGCAGAGGAATGTGCTGTCACGTCACAGAATTGCCGAGCACAGAGTGACCATACTCTGTTCTATTTTACAATCCCTTTTCCCTCTCAGTCTGTTACAGCTCTATGGATATGTGTATATTACTGAAAAAGCTTCAGGCAACAACTGTTATCTCAAGTAAAGGTCAATCAATATAGCTGATGTGTTGATGTTTAATCATAGGAAGTTGCTGTTTTCCTCTGGCATGGGTTAACCTTGGTTTAAAATATTCCTTCAGTTAGATTTCGTATTGTTTTTAGGTACACCATGTGCAGTGGTTCTTCTACAACCCTGACAGCTGGGTAGTGACAGCTGGAACAGTGCTTTATTTTGTCATCATTGAGATTCACTCCTACATTATAAAACAAGTTCAGGGGTTGTTACTGTCTTCCACACCAGTGCATCTGATCTCTCCTGACAAAGGGGCATGAGATGGTTGTATTCATCTAATGAATACCCTGTTACAGTGTTTTTCAGTGAACTCAGTCCGGGCTGTTTGCTTCTATTCACCACGCTGTAAGAAAAGGACCATTTGCTTCTGTTCATCTTGTATACTGTTTCTTACCAGAGAATAAGCTTTATATAATGCATAGTCTAAAAGGATTTCAGTAAAAGCTTGATTGTAACAATGCTAACTTGAAAATATCCACTTTTAAGAAAAGAAGATTTTTTATGCTATACTGGAACTGAAGACAGATTTTCCCTTTATTTTTCTTGCTCTCATGCTTTGTCAAGTTTCAGTCCTGAGGGAAAACAGCTGCACTTAGAAGAGCTATTAAGGAACCACTAAATTCACTAGGACACCAATTCCTATTGTAGTAGGTCAGCATGTCTCCAGCTGTACTCTGATTTGCAGTAATAGATCTAATCTTCTAAATCAATACTTGATTGCAGTTGAGAAGCCTGCAACATTACACCAGGTAAAGTCCAATCTTGCCTTTTCCTGTGCTTACCTTGGGTCTAATACAATTTTTGCAGAAAGGGCCCCAAGGCAGGTCTTGCACTTATTACTAAGCTTGTGTGTTCAATGAAATGGATCAAATGTACTTAAGATATTGAAAGTAAAATATGTTCAGCACCGCAGAACAACTTTATGACATTTTACCAAGTAGAATTTGTAAATTCCTTACATTTCTTCAACAGTGATATGAAAGCCTTGTGATACATTCCGTATGTGTACAGATATGTATGTATATGAGGGGTATAAAACTCACTCAGTAGAATCATAGAATCATTAAGGTCGGAAGGACCTCTAGGATCATCCAGTCCAACCTCACCCCTTCCCACCATGCTCACTGCCCGCATCCCTCAGTGCCACATCCTCACGTTCCTTGAGCACCTCCAGGGACAGCAATCCCCCCCCACCTCCCTGGGCAGCTGTGCCACTGCATCACCACTCTTTTGGACAAGCAGTTTTACCTGATATCCAACCTGAATCTCCCCTGGCACATCCTGAGGCCACGACCTCTCCTCCCATCACTAACTGGGAAAAAACAGCTCCCCCCAGCTTCCTACAACCTTCTCTGAGGGTAGATGTAAAGTGATAAGATGTATACTTGTATATGAGGTCTGTGGGGAGACCTCATTGTGACCTTCCAGTACTTGAAGGGAGCATATAAACAGGAAGGGGAATGGCTGTTTATGAGGGTGGGTAATGATAGGACAAGGGGGAATGGTTTTAAACTGAGACAGGGGAGGTGTAGGTTAGATCTTAGGAGGAAGTTTTTCACCCAGAGGGTGGTGAGGCACTGGAACAGGTTGCCCAGGGAGGTTGTGGATGCCCCATCCCTGGAGGCATTCAAGGCCAGGCTGGATGTGGCTCTGGGCAGCCTGGTCTGCTGGTTGGTGACCCTGCACACAGCAGGGGGTTGAAACCAGATGATCATTGTGGTCCTTTTCAACCCAGGCCATTCTATGATTCTATGATATGTGAAAGCTATAAAACTCAACAGAATCACAGAATTGTAGGGGTTGGAAGGGACCTCTGGACATCATCTCGTCCACCCTCCTGTTAAAGCACATTCCCTACAGCAGATACATAAGAAAGCATTGAGATGAGTCCCGAATGTCTTCACAGTAGACTCCACCACCTCTCTGGGCAGCTCTCTGTCACATTCAAAGTAAAGTTGTTCCTTACGTTTGTATGTTTCTCCCTATGCTCAACTCTCCCCTGCACATTCACAGGCAGGAGCCACAGTTAGATGTCATCCAGCTCAAACTGAAGGGCAGCTGCCTTCAAGTGGCTCAGTGTGATGTAACGTACAGCAACACGAAGTGGAATAAACTCAGCTGCCAAGGGTCAGGTGTCAGTGCCTCAGAGGTTAAGCATCTCATTCCAGTCATAGCTTTGAAAAAAGTCATTTTATTTGTTACACTTAAGGGACTGCACAACACGTGAAGAAAACCCCGGGTGACCTTTGCTTTTAGAATTATCATCGATCGCATTTCACTCACGCTGAATTTCCTATTAATTAACGCGAATTAGGAACGAGGCGAAAGAAACACAACTCCACCCGCACTCTTTCCAACATGGCGGCCCTACACCGCCCTCCCTGTGGGCGGGGCGCAGCCCTCCTCCCCGCCCGGCCCGGCCGTGGGTGCCCGGGCCGCCTCCGGCCGCGCATGCGCAGTGGAGCGCGGGACAGCGAGGAGTTGGTGCGGAGCGGAGGCCGCGGGCGGTGCTGCGCTGCGGGGCCGGGTGAGTTGGTGCGGTGAGCCGGGAGAGTGGGTCCTACCGAGCCGGCGGCCCCTCCGCTCCGAGCGGTGCTGGAACTTAGCCGGCCCGCCTCAGCGCGGGGTGACCTCGTGGGCTGTAAATACAGCCCTGCTCGGGCTGCCCTTGGGTAGGTCGGGCTTTGGGGCGGCGGAGGGGAAGGCGCTGCTGGAGGCTTTCCGCGTTTCTTTTCGATATACGCCTTGCTGGCCGGCTGGAGATCTTGGAGCCGCGTTTACCTGAGCGTGTCGGCTCGGTGCTTTCCCTCCGTGCCCGTCTTTCTCCTCTAAGTTGTTCCCTGCCGCTGGGCGCTGCGCTCAGCCGCGTCCGTCATCGCTGGGCGCTGCGCTGGCAGAGCGCGCTGAGCTCGCGGCTGGAGAAGTTCTGCTTCCGTCGAAGTTAGCCGGCGAGCTTTCCTCTGGGAGCCGCTGGGAGGCTGGCAGCCCCGCGTTCCCCTTTATTTTGGTTAATTTCCGCAGCTGGAGGCTCAGCTCTGCGATACGTTTGCCACAAAAGGCGTACCGAAACTCCCAGCGCTGTGGGTGACGTCTGTGAGAAGTTGGCAGGAGAGAGCCGCTCCCTCTGCGGCACCGCGGGCTCATCTGGCCGCTGTGCCCGAGTGGCTCCTTGCTCGTGACCACCGACACGCTGCGTTGTGCTTTCCGTGATATATCAGCACGTGTGTTTCTTCAGAGTACAACCCAACGCCTTCTAAAGGCTGTTGAGTTTCAGTGGGAGCAGCGACTTTCACAGCTGAGCGGTTCTGAATGCTGCTGGTGCGGGCTGGAGGCCTCAGAAATCCCCCGAGCTCCGTCATTGTGCCGTGTGTCAGCAGCTCTGCTGACAGCCCACAGACAAATCAACGGAAGCAGGCACTCAGAGGTGGCTCTGGGGCAAAAGATACACGCAGACACAGATTTAGTCCAAGAAAATTATCTTAGCTGTGTCAAAAGTTAATTTGAGAGAAGCTGATGAACGTAAATATAGTAAGCATTCTTATGCTGGCTACAGAAGGTTCCTGTTTTGCAGGACAGGTGCAAAGTTCCAAGTGCAGCAATCAGATACACTCACGAGGTTGCAATGTACCAGCACAGGCTTGGCCAACTATAATTTTCTGTCTATGAGGACAGAGGAAAAAAAAAAAAAGGCTGTACCTCATCTTACATGAACATGTCAGAGGTATTCTAAGTGCAGTTATCTGACCTACGATATAGTAGAAGCAAATGATCTGAAGGCTGCCTGAACTTTCTCATAGTAACACAGAGTGTTACTATAACTGTTTTGCCCCATCCCTGGAGGTGTTCAAGGCCAGATTGGATGGGGCCCTGGGCAGTCTGTTCTAGCATTAGGTGGGATGGTTGGTGGCCCTGCGTGTGGCAGGGGGGTTGGAGATTCATGATCCTTGAGGTCCCTTCCAACCCTGGCAATTCTGTGATTCTGTGAGTGAATCTTTGTGGTTGTTAGGAGTGTTTTTTGAAGGCTTACCTACATTTCAACAGAAAGTGTGTTGCAGAGTTTTGAGATGAAGGAACGTCAATATCAGCATCCCAGAAGAACATGAATTAGTACTGAACTGAAAGCTTATGTGTTTGTTTTTTTTTTTATCATTTCAGTGAATGTTGTTTCCTCTAACATCTCCATCTTTTATTAAGTTAGATGGTTGGAGCATTTTAAATTTATTTCAGTCTCACATGATCTTTTTTTTCCTGGGAGCACGTGGGCTATTGCTGCTTAGTTTGATGTTGATATCTGTGCACAATGTGATGACTTAGTCCTAATTCTGCCAGGAGCAGAGCGTGATCTGTGTAACCTGTGTCCAGAAATATTTAAACAGTTGCTGTTTAAAATTTATGTCCTTCTGGAAGCTTGTTTAATTTTAGGGTGGTTTTTGGGGTCTCCAGCTTTTTGTGACTCTCTGTAAGTTCTCCTCAGAGAGCTCAGAAGATTGGTATGGCATTCTCTGACTTGGCAAACTAATCCTGTAGTATATTTAGTACATCTGAATCCAGGATTTTCTTTCCAACTGGGTGACAGACTAGAAATGATAATGCACATTATGCAATTCTTTGAATGCTGCACTAATAAGGTATGGTAGGAAGAGGAACCTGACAAATCTTGCACCTTTGTGTAATGTGCTCTGTTGAAGTGAAGGTCATCAGAGTGCCTGCAGTGGCAGTGCAGTTTTCCTGTGACTGCCTCATAGCGTTGCCAAGAATCAGGGGATTTTAAGTCATGCTGATGAGAGAAGGAATGTGATCTCCTTTTCCTCAGTCGGTGTGGCTGTGGATGTGCATTTGCAATTCACATGATTATTGTGAAACTTATTTCTCTGTATCTATGTGAGGGTAGTTTTTGTTTAAGAGGTCTGAAAGCGATGTTTGGTTCACATGTCATCAAACTAAAAAGTGAGGGAAACAAAGAACCATTTGAAGACCAGGGGGGAGGGGAGGGGGATATAGGGGACAGGGGAAAGGTTCAGATTTCTGGTTAAACTCACTTGCAACACAAGAGAAACTTAAAGAGCATTTCAGCTTCAGAAGTAGGCAGGAGTGCCAGGCGTATCGTCTGCTGTTGTCTGTGTGGGTTTTGTTTTGTTAACTGTCGTCTTTTCTTAATTAGGAGGAGCACCAGGATGAAAACATGGACAATATCAAAACTGTGAAGGAAGAATGGTAGGTTCTCGTCTCCCTTAGCTGTTTTCTTTTTCCTTCCTATTAGTGTTTACTTGTCCTATCAGCACTTTTTAAACTTTTTCTTAAATTTCAGAATACAGTCATTTCTGCTGTATCCTCTGTTCCACGTACACTGAAGTTTAAAAAAAAAAAAAAAGCCACAGATTTTTGCTTGAAGATTTCTCACATACCCAGAGTGTTTCCTAGATGTGAGAAGTGGCATAAATATTTTACTTAAAATAGAAAGACAGCATTACAGTTTGCTAACTCACTGTATACTTTGACATTTAGTATGGAGATGTTCAGTTTTCCAGACATGCTTGTGAGATAAAACGTAGTTGTTGCCTCAAATAATGCTCCAAGTTTTTGTTCTCTTAGAAAATGAAAGCAGGTACAGTATGGTACAGCATGCTTCTGAAGTCTTTCTTAATGTCACTGAGTTTTTCTTTACTTAAATACATTAATCCTTAGGGATTCTTACTGTTGCATAGATGCACTGCAAACAGTAATTCTTTTTAATGCAAATGTAGCTCATTACTGTTCAAGTAAGCATTGCTCTCCTTGAATTTATTGCAGAGTTTTACATTAAAAAAATGTTTTTAAGAGCTACATTTTTTTTTCCTGAATTACTAAAAATAGACTTCTGAATCTCCAGTTGAAATAACTCCTGCAATGTTTACCAAAACCCGCATAATCCTCTTAGTATGCAAAGAATCTAAACTGCAAGATAATCGTTCATTCACGTTGCATATATCTGCATTTTGATTGGTCAGAAACTAACAGAGAAATAGCTGTTACGTATGCAATGTTCTATAAAAAGAAGTGGCTGATGCATCTCTTTGTAATATTCTGGCAGTCTCCAAGGTATTAAAATCTTCCGTTGTATCTCTTCATTGTGCTCAAGTTAAGTGAACACTTGTTCTTCAGTTTCTTCATGTATTTCCAAGGGCAGGAACGGTATATCTGTGGTGATGATGGGAACAGACAGTAAATAGTATGGCAGTTTTCCTGTATGTGGCTTTTAAAACTGAAGTCACTGTAGCCTGTATGATGGCAGTGCTTTAAAGATCTTTTGTTGGTGTGCAGTGGTCTGAGTTACAGATGTGGATGCATTCCTTGCTCTGATACCACGTTTAGATTTTTTTCGTATACGAGTTCACCTTTTCTATTGTCACTTTTTCATTTGTGCTTCTGAAGTGCAAATAATAGCAGTTACAGGTTCCTGAAGCTCTTCCTGAAAAAGGCACAATACAAAGCTGACCTGGTATTTTCTAACTATCAAGTAAGCTGGTGCAGGGGAGCATGTCTTTTAGTACTGAACTTCTAGGATAAAACTGCTTGTTGTCTTCTGTGCTGTGGAACATCTTTGTTATTTATGCATTTGTTCTGCAGGATGTGTAAGTCAAGAACTGATGACCAGATTTTGAATGGTACGGAACAAAACCACGACTATTTTGTCAATGACCTTTTTGAAGAAGCTCAGAAGATCGGTGCGATATGTGTGTCTCCAACTACAGTCAAGAACCAGGTAGGTGTTGATGGAAAAAAAATGCTAATTTAACATAATAGTACTCCAGGAATACTCCAGAGAACAAATGTAAGAAGTTCAGCAGTCTTATCCAATAGGCTTGTAGGTAAATGCATGCAGAAGTCAGACAGCAGTAGGAACAGTCTGCCATCTTTGGCTGAACCAAGACTAGAATTCTGCTTCTGACACCTAAAAACCACTATAAAACACTTTTTCTGGGACTTAGCTCATGCACTTCTCATTAATTGCTAGAGAGAGAGAGCTTGTGATTAGGTGCAAGGAGTGACAACTGCCATTTCAGGGGAAGTTTTAAGAGTTGTAGTCTTTCTATGAAGAAATAATCCAGATTTTTCACTTATTCTTTTATATAGTTGTGGTAGTGGGATGCTCAGCATGGCTTTATATGTCAGTGGTTCTGTCCTTTTTTTATATTTTTGTTGCTCCCAAAGATTGGTGGATGAGAAGCTGGATATGAGCCAGCAGTGTGCGCTTGCAGCCCAGAAGACCAGCTGTGTTCTGGGTTACATTAAAAAAGAGGTGGCCAGCAGGGAGAGGGAGGTGATTGTCTCCCTTTATTCAGCTGTTGTGAGGCCCCATCTGCAGTACTGCATCCACACCTGGGGCCCCCAGTACAGGAAGGATGTGGAGCTCTTGGAGTGGATCCAGAGGAGGGCCACTAAGATGATCAGAGGGCTGGAGCACCTCTCCCATGAGGAAAGGTTGAGGGAACTGGGCTTGTTTAGCTTGGAGAAGAGAGGGCTCTGGGGAGACCTCATTGTGGCCTTCCAGTACTTGAAAAGAATGTATAAACAGGAGGGTGAACGGCTGTTTAAGAGGGTGGATAGTGATAGGACAAGGGGGAATGGTTTTAAACTGAGACAGGGGAGGTTTAGGTTAGATCTTAGGAGGAAGTTTTTCACCCAGACGGTGGTGAGGCACTGGAACAGGTTGCCCAAGGAGGCTGTGGATGCCCCATCCCTGGAGGCCTTCAAGGCCAGGCTGGATGTGTCTCTGGGCAGCCTGGTCTGCTGGTTGGTGACCCTGCACATAGCAGGGGGTTGAAACTCAATGATCCTTAAGATCTTTTTCAACCTGGGCAATTCTATAATTCTGTGATTGGGAGGGGCTGAAGAAAAAGCCATGTTCAAAAAAATCTTAGGGAGTGATCTGGGGAGAGCACCCCTAGAAATTATATTCATAGATCTCTGCCTGGGCTAAGGGAGAAAAGGAATGTGGGGAGCAATACGTGAACCCTGACTTCTGAAAGTGTTCCTTGGCAGTACTAGTTTCTTCCAGGTTTGTTTTTTTTTACTGCTTAGGAGAGTTTTTGACCAAAGAAACTGTAATGATTAGAGTGAGGTTTATTTCTAACTCTTATTGACAGAAGATGCTTAGAAATCTTACTTTCCCCTTGCAGTCAGTCTACCTGTCGAGACAGGGTCAAAACACACTACAGTGAGTCTTCTCTTAGTGTTTTTAGTCCATGCACTGGATGGTTTAAAATCATAGGGTACTATTGGTTATATAAAGCTAGTTTTAAATGAGTGTTAAATTGAAAATTGTTCTCGCTCTACAGGTTGATGTGATCATTAAACTTTGGAAAAATGGGTTTACAGTAAACGATGGTGAACTTAGAAGCTACACTGATGTTGGAAATCAGCAGTTCTTGGACTCCGTTAAAAAAGGGTGAGGGAGTTTTTTGTTTCTCATCTGCCTGAGTTAATGTGCTTTGGATTGCAGTTTGCTCATACTCCAAATTTTTGGCATTGCTTCACTCCAGTAGCCCTGCAGGAGCACAGTCTGCTGACTCTGTCATTTCCTGTCGTGCCGATGACTTCTCACATCCACAAGTTTCACATACTGCAACTGAAAGCAGTCGTACAGTTGCTGATGGAGTAGATAAAAGTGAGTGTTGGTAGGAGGCACAGCAGACACAGAATGAAATAAAAAGGAAGTCATCGTGCCCAGTAATAGCCAGTGCTCAAATTGTACTTCTGCTGACAGTCTCAGTGTGCAAGTGGTTAAGTATGTCTGGTTTGCTGGTCTTTGTTTTCCTTTTATTGATGAAAAGCCTTTGGTGGGTGCAGTTGCTGCATTGTAATACCAGGAAGCTTCAATCAGCCTTCAATTGCAGTCATCGTTCCTTGTACAAACTCACTATTTCACTCACTTGTGTGCGTATATAGTGATCCTACTTTTATCCAGGTGCTGAAATTGAGCATGCTGGAATGATTTCTGCTAGTGTTTGATGCAGTCTTACTTTAAAATAGCAGATTGAACATAAAAACCAATGTAATTTGAGCCTTTCACTTGTAGTCTGTTTCCTCGTCCCATACAAATAAAAGGGAGAAAATAATTTTGCACAATATTATTTTATAACTCATTTTCATGTATGTGAATTAATTACACCATTCTGTTTTTCATCTCTTTTGTGCTTTACAAGCCCATCAAAAACGACTAATTTTACATTTTACCTTCTGCGTGTCACCTGCATTGGTTCTAATAGCAGTTGACTGCATTGTTAAAAGCCCTCTATTTTCTTTGTGTAAGTCAAAAGTTTACCACCTCCCTTTCTCTGTTTCCTCATAGAGATGCTAAGTAACTACCAGATGGTTCCTGCATAATTGGTGGTGGTAGGCTAGCACTCAGCACCACTCAGACAAAGGCCTTGTGTTCTGCTTAAGGCAAATAAAGCATTGCTGGGTGATGTTACTGCACTAAAGACTGTAGCTATTAGTGATCTAACTTCTTAAAGCTGAGTTTCCTGTTTGTCAGTAATTAAACACATAGTTTCTAAACTCAGTCTTTCTCGTTAAAAGTTGATCATTGTTTTTTATGTTTTTGTTTTGTTTTTTATTCCCATAAGTTACAAAAAATAATTGAACCTACCATGTATTGCTGCAGTAATATTAAACCCTCTGCACGTTGTACTTTGGTGTGGTAACTACTGGGTAAATTTCAGTATCATTCAGTGAATTACATTGTCTTATTTTATTGTTCAAATTGTATTTAATTTGCAGCTCAAGAACTTGGAGTTCTTTGCATATCATGCAGTTAGTGTGATTATTAATAAATTATGTACTTTAAAGCATGATCTTTACAGGAGTAAACAGAGCTGGTATTAATCATTAATGTATTTTGGATACTGAAACAGTATAGTAATTCTTTTTCTTGTGTCTTTTTCTTAAGGGAACTGCCTTTTGAGCTACAGAAAGTATTTGAGAAGGAAGAGGTAGATGTGAAGGTGGAAGACAAAAAAGATGAGTTGTATCTGTCATCAAAAAAGCCAATATTTCATCCCTTTTCTGGTCATGGTTACAGATTAGGAAGGTGAGTAACTTGATGTAATCTGTGATTGAGTAGCTGAAGGAAAGTATACGTATGGTAAGGGATCATATAATTCAGATTGGAGGCTACCTCTGGAGTTCTCTAATCCAGGCTTCCATGTGAAACAGGCTCACGTGTGGGGAGAGATGAGATTCCTCAGAGCTTTATCCAGCTGGGCCTTGAAATTCTGCAAGGATGGAGACTGTGAAACTTGGTTCAGTGACCTGACCTCATGAGGGAGAAAGTTTTAACTTATACCCAATCTGAATTTACTGTGTTTCAACTTATATCCTCCATGCAGAGCCTGATAATCTCCTGTAGGTACTGGCATGTTGCTGCTAAGGCCCCTAGTACAATTTCTCCCACAGGCTGAACAAGCCCACCTTCTCCATCCTCTCCTCCCAAGGCAGATGCTCCAGCCCAAGCACATCTCTGAGGCTCTCCATGGAACCCCCTTCAGTTCATCAATATTTTTCTTTTATTGGTCTTTTACCAGGGGCCAAATCTGAGTTCAGTATTTAGGTGTGTCTAACAAATGCTGTGTAGGGGATTATCAGCTGTGACAATCTACTCATCCTTTCCTTTATTCTATGTGGGTGGATAAAGTCAACCAGCACAAAAACTGGACTTGGTTTATGACCATACAGCATTTTGGAAATCCTTTGTACAGAGGCGAGCTAGGAGTTCACCTGTATAAATCTCTGCAACTTTAGCTTACTTCTGCTGAATCATCTTTCATGTATTTCTGTCACGTAAGATTTACGTGCATGAAAAAGATGATTTCAGCCTTGGGAATGAAACACAGTGACCAGGAAACCTTCAGTGGTGGATCTGCTTAGTGACCTGTAGGCTGTGCTGAAGCCTGAAGTGAACTGCTTGTTCTGATGCAGTGGAAAGGGTTTGCTGTTCAGGCTCAAGCTGAGGAAAAGCATCACTGGGTAAGGAAGGAGTGAGGCTGGGGGAGAAGGTAGGTAACATACAAAGTAAAAGGCTGATGGGGCAAAGAGTGAGTGGTTTCAGGAGGCATTAGAGAAGCAAATATCTTTGATCAGTTTCATCTGTTTCAGTAGCACAGGCTATTCATTCAATTGCTGTATGCTTGGGTTGATAGGGTCGATAGGGAAGAACTTCCCTTGAGAGGTGGATGAGAAATGCCTCAAGTCTCGCTTTTGGTAGCACTGAAATCCTGAGCAAAGGTCAAGAACTGAATCGTATTTCATTTAGCAGTAGGCATGTATATAGCGGAAGCAGAAAGATCTTCAGCATGCTGGGTTTCTGCTGCTAAGCAGGGCTAAGTGGCAGGTTGTTCAGTTGCTTGTCGTGCTCTGTCATGCCTACAGCAAGTAATGATCTGGCTTCCCAGTAGGCGCGTTAGGTTCTGGAAACATGCTATTCTGTGACTTTCGCTTGAGTGGTTTTGCACACTGAGACATCCCACAACTTGCTCAGCAATTTTGTTCTGTATGAACAGGATAGAATGCGCCCTCCTGCTGTTGCTGGTCTATTCAGTGCTATGGTATCAGAATGTTTTCTTTCAAGACTACTAAATATTTTTTTGCTGGTGGTGGAAACATGAGCCGGGAGTGTTTTGTAAACTGGTCCTCGCTTCCTGATGTTAATAAATATCCATTGCATCCATATGCTACTCTTGGAACAGAAGAGCTTTTTGGGGAAATAATAATACTACCTGAGATGGATATGTTGTGGTTTAACCCAGCAGTCAGCTTGGAACCACACAGTCTTTTGCTCACTACCCCTCCCTCCCTCTCAGTGAGTTGGGGAAAGAATCGGGAGGAAAAAAAGTTTTTATCTCAGCCTGCAATTACTTTTATTTGCTAAGACAGAAGAGAGAAATGGTAGCAGTGGTAATGGCAAATGTTTACATTTACAGAACAAGTGATGCACAATGCAATTGCTCACCACCCACCAACTTATGTGCAGCCAGTCCCTGACAAGCAGTAGCCCTCCCTCCCCCCAGCTAACTTCTTACAGTTTTATTGGGTTTTTTTAAACGATGCCATCTGATATGAAAGATCTCTTTGGCCTTTTGATCTTTTGGATCAGCTGTCCTGGTTCTGTTCCCTACCAGCTCCCTGTGTCCCCTCATTCACCTCCCTCTGGCAGGACAGTAGGAGAAGCTGAAATGTCCTTGGCCCTGTATAACCACTGATGAGCAACAAATGAAACATTGATGTGTTACCAACATTGTTTTTCTCCTAAAGCCAAAACATAGCATCATAGCAGATGCTATGAGGAAAGTTAACTCTGTCTCAGCTGAAACAAGGACAATATAATAGGGTTGAAGCTGTAGAACTCCCTTTACACAGTTACATTCATGTGCTTAATTAAAAGAGAGAGACAAATGACTGAATGGTTTACTTAGCTTATGACCTGCTTATCAGTTAAACTTCATAATAATCTCTGTAGGCTTTTCTGCTGGTGCTCCCAGGTGAATGAATTACATGAGTGGCTGCGTTCTGAAGTCTCAATAGAAGTTGGTCTGTTGACCACCTCATTAAAATTTGTTTTGGGGAAAAATAGAGGAACTAGAACTGTTTTCATTTGTTGTTTATTTTTATTGCAACCCAAATGAATTTGATCCTCTCCATTTATGCTGTACAGGAGAAACAAAGACAGACTTTTCCAATATATCTCAGGTAGCTGTATAACTATTCAGGTTTATTTACCCCTATTCAGGTTCATTTAATAGCTTGACTCTAACAAGATTTGCAGCTAAAAATCTCTGTTAAGTTTAACAAGGTATTTTAAAGACAGCCTTAGAAAGGACCTTAACTGTACTGTTGACTGAAATCACTTGTAGCAAAATGGATTTGCTGTATAACATTATTAGGGTAAAACAGTGTGCTTCAAGCTTCTTCCCATTAGTCTGGGTAAGCACAGTACTTAAAGAGAAAAAACCCAGTATGTGAAAAATTGCCTGGAGACTTTTGTATCTCTTCAATGGTAAGGTTATCAAGGGAAGATGTAAAAGGAATGAACTGTTAAAAGGAATGATGATGGTTTGATGTCAGACTAATAGAAGACTTACATTTTTGGTTTGTGGCTTCGGTCAGAGCTCCCACCACTAGATGGCTTTATCTGTCAGTTTTACAGGAGCAAATTTAATTGAAATGCTTTAGAACTTGGTGAATGGAGTTCTTCTAACTTTCTCTTGCAGCTTAGTTTAACGTGTTGCCTTCAGTTCTGAGTATGCTTGCTATTAAAGAATAATCTCCAATGCTACTACAGAGTCCTGAGATGCGGAAAGGGGAAAGAAGTGGTTTGAGAACAGCATCAAATTTGTGCATATGTGAGATAGTTGTGTGAACTACAACTGTAGCTGATGGGACTAAAACGTGTCTGGTTTAGCTTGGGCAGAACTGCACAGTTAATTAGCTCTCCAGGATCCACTGTACTGGAGGCAGCTGGCTCACATGTGACTGTTTATATGTCAGTAAGCTCTGAACTGGACTGCACTATCAAGCAGCCAGAGAAAGATGATCACTGCAGGACTTAAGTATGATTTACACTTTATTTTTGTTTTTACTTCCATTGCCAAGATTGTTTAACTTTATCTTGTTGGTGCTTAAGGGTTTTTTTTTCCAAATCTGGACTGCAGCTAGGGTTTATTGTGTCCTGAGGTCAAGCATGGCAAGAAGCTGAGTGAGATAAGTATATCAATAGGGGCAGATGGGTGATAGTAAGTCACCTGTACTTGGGCTGCAACCAGAATGTTTTACAGGTGCACATCTTGAAATCTATTGCTTCCTACTTCTTGCACCCCAGATGGTTTCTGCTTATTGCCATGGACATGAGTGGTAAAGAATTCTTGAAATGCTTCAGATTGAGAAGACTATTAGCTTGAATGTGTCAAATCAGTAGACTTTTTTTTTTTTACTGAAAAATGAACTGTGGCTTTTCTGCTTTATGATTAAACTAACACAATACAAGAACATAAGGATGCTGTTTGCAGAGCAGATGCAATATTGTTAAGAACTGTTGTTCTATTGTTTAGTGAGTTCTCCCTCAAGAAACAATAGGTGATTTTTTTTGTGTGTGTGTGCAGAGTGAGCTTTGTCTGAAACCACTGTGAAACACTCATGTAGTCAGTAACCACGACAGAGCTCAGAAGAAATGGCAACTCCTTAAATCACTGCTATTGTTTTGCAAGCACACATCTGCTTATATTTACGTGTGTGGAGGATGTGCCCATTGGATCAGGCCTTAGTGATGACTTAAACAGTACGTACTGAACAAGCTTGCCCATGAAAGCAAAAAAACCTAAACTCTAGATGTTTCAGAACCAGTATTTGTGCCAATAATTTTTTTCAGAGACCATACACTCGAACTGAAGCCTTCTGTCAAGCTATTTTATGGATCTTTCTTTGCCCTTATGGTACACTGAGCTGGTGAAAGTGCTTTGCAAATCAAAAGCTAAGTATATGCATAAGCCTGGGTTTCCACGTTAAATCAATTTCTCTATGAATGTCTCTAAACTGAAAAAAATGATGCTGGAGTCTAAATGAAGGCTAACAGCTTTCAGTTAAATTGAATTACTGTAATCACATTGCACTGAAAATAAACATTGAGTATGCAAATTCAAACATAAGCCCCTTATAGTTTCACCTGTGTGATTAGAATACAAAAATACACGAAGAATCTCTCTTGTGTGTGCTTTAGTCCTTTGACATGTCAGTTCCCTTCTGTCTTGTAAAATGCTTACTGCAGACAAGCAAATTCTTTAGCACGTTGAAGACTTCCACGTGGAATTATTAGCATAGTTTTCTGGGTTTTTTGTTTTTGTTTTTTTAATGATATCAAATCCTATGACGTTTTTTTGCTCTTTGACACAGGGCAGAGAGCTCCAGAAGAAGAGATCTGGACAAAAGTTCAAACTTATGGGAAGTCATAACTTGGATTTTTGGTTTTTTTTTTCAGTGCTACTCCAAGGATAATCTCTGAAGTAAGAGAGGATCAAGGAGCTGCTGATAAAAGACGTCTTCCTGTAGTACCCTTAAATGATTTGGAGCCTGTCACTAACATCCAGATCTGGTTAGCGGATGGGGAGAGGATAATTCAGAAATTCAATGTTTCACACAGGTAATGCTGTTATTTGTGCTTGCATCTGAATTGTTTGTGCTACAACTGTACGTATAATATGTCCAATATCTGTAGCTCGTCTATCTCTCCAGTTCACTTAATGTTGCATTGCTCTTTGGCTCTACCTAGTGTATCTTTTTGAAATTTTTTAGAGAAAATTCATCATTTTTTAGCAAACAAGTGAGAGGAGCGCGAGAGAAGCTGATGTTACCAGTCAGCTCATAACTGAGTGTAAATCAAAATCCACTGAGGAAATTTGGAGGTTTTTAGGCTAGTGGAAGTTAAGGTGTATGAATTGTTAATTGCTGGAAGAAACAGTTAAGTGGATTTATGCAGCTTTTATGGTGACAAGTCCATTACAGAATGACTGCATCTGGAGCAAATTGCTTATTCAAAAAGGAAAACCTGCTAGTTGCTGAGCAGACAGCAGCACAGATGTTGAGTTTCAGAAAATCCACTTGTATCTCTTCCAGCACATAAAAGGAAGTGGAGGATGTGACTTCGAACTGAGCCAGAGGAACATCCAGGGAGGGCCAAAGTTAAGCAGGAGAGCTAATTCACCTGCATGTCTGTCCTGTCAGCATGGATGGAATAAAATGCATCTAGTGTGCTTAATTCTTAATTATTACAATTTCCAGTTCCCGAAGAAGCTTATAAATGGGGATAAAGTCAGAAGGTGTCAGCACAGCAGATGTATGAAGGAACCTTGAGAAAGTAGGATTAATGGCTTAACATTAAATTTTAGAACTGCTGTCTTTAGGGACCTTTCCCCAACTTGTAATTTGCTGTCACAGTATTACACAGTCATGTCATATGCAAAGGTTACAGTGCCTGTGTTTCTCTCTGAATCAGTTTAAAGTGATCATAGGTTTTAATACAACTCAGGCTGCTGTCAAGATAAACTGTAAATAGCAGGCTGCCCAGAGAGATTTTGGAGTTTCTTTGTCTGGAGATAATTAAAACCCACTCTGGATGCTTTCCTGTGCTACCTTGCTACCTACTGTAGGGAACCTGTTTTAGCTGAGGGTTGGACTGGTTGATCTCCAGAGGTTCTGTTCCTATCCTGAACATTCTGAGATTATGAATGGTCAGAAGAAGAGCTCAGGTGCTTAACTTGTACTAATTTATTACTCTTAGCAGCCTAAGATATGATGCAAAATGTTGTTGTGGTGTACTGCTGAAAGATCAATTGCTATTCTAATTAGAAGCTCCCAAATAAAGGTTTTATCTTTTGTTATTCCAAGTTTAACAGGATTAAGTATATTAAGGAGTTTTTTTCTTTGTGATAAATAGTGTTATTTACAATTGTGAAGTACTTCAACAGGGAAAAAAAATCCTTGGGATCAGAGAATGAGTACTTTGTTTAGTTCTCTGGTACAAATGTATCCTGTCACCTGGATTTACTCAATTAATCAGTTCTTGTTACTGCAAAACCTGTGTCTTGCTTACTCTTGAAAGATTCTTTGCACATTAGCAGGCATCTTGAATTTACTACTGCTCCTACTTTGGGAGACAGAGGCTACTTTAAGACCTAATTAACTAATTATCCAGGCAATCTTTGCAAATTTTGCTTTTTCTTTTATGGTTCTGCTGCGTGTACCATACACTAAAGGCTTCCTTACTCTAGCCTTGGCTATGGAACTTCAAGCAGAGCTCCACCAGCTGGTTAAGAAATATCAGGTTTGTGTAACAACCGTCCATGAGCCATGGTGAAGCATTTGAATCCTTCTTTTTCTTGCTCTCAAGTGAACCAGGCACTTAAGGATACCTATTTCTCCATTTCTGTGCCATTAGCCGTTATGTCTCATTCTGTTCCTGAGGTGATTCTGTGTGTTGTTTGTGTTCTGTGTTAGGGCTAGAGCACTCTGACGCTGAGTCTTCTTTTTTTCTTCTCAGAATAAGCCACGTCAGAGACTTCATAACAAAGTATCAAGGATCAGAGGGAGGTGTTCCCTTCATGCTGACTACTTCACTGCCATTTCGAGAACTGCAAGATGAGACTCTCACACTACAGGAAGCAAAGTTGCGAAATGCTGTTGTTGTTCAGAGACTTCAGAAAACAACTGAACCTTTTAAACTCTTAGTGATGAAAGCTCCTGACAGTGACTGTAAAACTGCTGCTACACCTAATGGACGGCTCAGGAATGAGCAAAAAAACGCTATCAAAAGCACAAGTTCAAATCAGTTTATAGCTGACTGAAAGCTACACACAGGCAGAACTAGACAAAACGTACCCAGCAATATCTGGATGCACTATCATTCTTACCTAGTGTGATCTTAGCAAATGTGCTGTAATCTGCTGTAACAAACATATTTTCAATTAATTTTGGTGATGAGAGCCTGGCTGAATAATGCAGCAGAGGTAACTTTATGACAGGAATTATCCTTATGATTTCCTTGGCTTTGCTAGCATGTTCTTTAATGAGTCCACTTAGGTGGGACGGTACTCTGAGACTTAATTACTACTGGTAACACACTTTAGGGAAAAACAATATTTATTTTTGCACTTTGGACTAAAGAGAAACTGAACTGGTTGATCTAATTTATACTTCAATATAAGTTGCTCCAGTTTCCCTTTCTGTTTTAGTAACAGGCAATAGATGCTGCAAGAAAGTTCACATTTGAACTCCTCTAGCTATTTTGAAAATCAGTGTAAGTATCATTAGTATTTAACTTCATCACAAGGTCTGCAGTGTGAATGTCCTATTAAGTCTTCACATGATGGTTGGTGCATGTGTAAGAAGATTGAAATTAGGTAGCCTGGTGCATACTGGATATGAAGTGCCTCTAAGTAAGCTCTGAAGGAATTGTTATTCCTAATGGTTGAAGTGTTTTCTTTCTCTTGTGTTCTGCTACAGATATCTTACAGACAGGGTGATGTTAAACTACCTGGCTCACTAGGTTAGAGATCTGCTTTTAGACTTGTCACAGAGAAACTTCATTTTTCTGTAGTTTGCCATGTGGCTATAGTGGCTTAGAGGGGCACAGTTGTTTTTATACTACGCATGTCTTTGTCCTGAGCTAGCCATCTGATGAGATGTCAACAGCACGTAGACAAACTTCAAAGATATCTAAAATCCATATTTGAAAACTGAAGCTTCTTCTCCACCCCTCCACCTCCTTTCCATCCCAATCTTTTTTTTTTTTTGTCCTTGTATTTTTGGCATAAGATTTGTACCCAACAATCCCATGTTTTGTTAAAGGAGAACATTAAGGACTAAATATATATATTTTGTACTGGTTGTGTTAAATCACGTATGGGTTTGTGTATGGACCTAAAGTCTCTCGGTAAAGACTTTCTTGGGGCCTTCAATAAATGCTGACTTGTTTGTGCTGCCTACACAAATGGATGGTTGTCAGAGCTGAACTTCTTTTGCATGGTTAAAGATAATTTTGGGCTTCTCTGTTCTTCTTCTAAATAGAAAATTATTTAATTGAAATGATTTTAATTCTTTCTAAAAGTCCTGTTACTTCATGCTAAGAATGCATTTATTTCATTTACAGGAACATAAAACTGTTAATTTTGTTTCAGAATCTGAGTCACAGGATGGTTGAGGTTGGCAGGGACCTCAGAGAGTCTATCTGATCCAACCAGAGGAACTCAGGGAACTCAAAGCACAGTGCCCAGCACCACATCCCGGTTGCTCTTGAGATCTCCAAGGAGACTCCACAGCCTCTCTGGGCAACTTTGCAACTTTCTCATGCTGGAGCACTGAGAAGTACATTTGAGGACAGTCAGACTGAAGTCAACTGCATGAATAACTACTCCATGTATTCAAAAAGCAAATACCTGAAAGCTATGCAGTACAGTGTGCACTGTTTTCAGTGCTACAAACTTGCTGTGTTACTGTATTATTCAGGTTCGTGTAGCAAATCATACAACTGAATTTTGTTTGCTCTTCCATTTTCTCTTCCATTACATGAAAAGCGTGCCAGATCTCTATGTAGGAAAAAATACCTAGACAAATCCCATGATAAAACCAAAGGGACAAGTCACCTACAGGCATATATTCTACCCTTAGCTTGCAGAGCTTCCTGAACAGTGGCTTTTATTCATCGTTTCTTTTGGATTAGTTTTAATGTAGAACCAAATATTAGAGAAATACACATGCTTAATTGTAAACACAGTTATTCTTACCTAAAAGATTCATGTAATCTCGAAGTAGCAGTACACTAGTCCTATGTTTACAATGGAAATTAAATGAAAAGATTATGAAATTTATATAAAATGGAATTTAAAAGGAGAAAATACAGTGGTAGGTAAAGTTGTTTTGCTTGTTGTCAGAAGATTAGTTTTTTGGAAAGGAGCTTAATATTTCAACACTAATTCATTCCTGCTACCAGTGTTGTAAGACATCAGGTAGGTTGATTCTGTCTGGCTATACAGTGTGCTTTCCAACTGTTTCCAGCTTTGGTAGACTTCAGTGTGTTTGTAGTCTGAAATGCTGCAAGAAATTGAATGATCTTAATTACAGAAATATAGAATCATGGAATGGCCTGAGTCGAAAAGAACCACAATGCTCATCCAGTTCCAACCCCCTGCAATGTGCAGGGTCACCAACCAGCAGCCCAGGCTGCCCAGAGCCACATCCAGCCTGGCCTTGAGTGCCTCCAGGGATGGGGCATCCACAACCTCCTTGGGCAACCTGTTCCAGTGCTGGGAACAGAATGGGAGCAGATCTCTCAGAAGTCAGGATTAGTGCAGTCAGCATTTTATATTAGACTAGAAAGTACCTTTAGGGGAAAAAAAAATAAAAAGCAACCAACTGCGATTGGGTAACATTGCCTAACTGAGAGAAAATGCTTGGAGTGAATACAGAACTGTTTTAAATCTAATTGGTTTTGGTCAGTTTATAAGACTGAGGCTGTCCAGATACAGGCAGCTCATCTGTTGCTCAGTGCTGTAGACACCTATTGTGCTTTGGTCAGAGAGAGGAAAGGTTCTATCTAGTTTTTCCTTTGTGAAGAAGTAGCTAACAAAGATTTAGTGTATTTTGGATATAGTGTCTGAAGTGAGAGTGAAGAACCTACATGTTGAGTTTGAGCGCTAAGCATTCCAGTGTTAAAAATATTCCAACTTGCATCTAGCTTAGAATTTGTTCCAAAAATACCATGTTGGGATAAAGCACTGAGCAGTCCAGCATCTACCCTTAGCCCTTAAGGACACTCTGGAGTCTAAATGCTTTTAAGTGAAACCTGGTAAGCTGGCTTGATGAGCTGAGTCCGATGGGATGCAGTTCAGCAAGACCAAGTGCTGGATACTGCATTTTGGTTGCAAAAAAACTCCATGCATCACTACAGGCTTGGAGCAGAGTGGCTGGCAAGCTGCATGGAGAAAGATGTGGAGGTATTTATTAGTTGATAGACAACCGAATGTAAGCCAGCAGCGTGCCCAGGTGGTGAAGAAGGCCAACGGCATCCTGGCTTGTATCAGGTATCAGAAATAGTGTAGTTAGCAGGATCAGGGAGGTGATGATCCCACTGTATTCTGCACTGGTCACAGGAACGGATTGATGGTTGGATCTTACTGGTCTTTCCAACCTTAATGATTCAATGAACTTGTGGTAAAGCCAGGGTTTCAACTTCATGCTAAAAACAACTGCAGTGTCATGATGGAATGATTTTTAATTCTTCCTTCTTTCAGAATTTTGCTACGTGGTTGTGATGGTTCTTGTCACCACCAAGTGAGCATAGCACAATGAACCGCAGCAGCAGCTCTCCGTCTGATGGGGAAACGCTGCGCGCGTAGCTTAGTCATTGCCTCTGCGAGATGGGTAAGTGCTTGTTGCTGTGTTTAACCCCTCTTTGACGAACAGGAAAAGAACTCATCGTTGAAAATGCGCTTCTTGACGCGGACTCACTGCTGGGGGAAGCGCTGTCGGTGGTGAACTTTACTGTCTAAATTAAGGCAGCGGCCGTCGTGCTTCGCAGTCTCGCAACAGAACCGAGCGCTCCGCGGCCGAGGGCTGCTGCCCGCTCCTCAGGCGCGGGGCTGTGAGGGGAGCGGCGGGGCTGTGAGGGGAGCGGCGGGGCGGGCTGGGGCTCGGGGCGGCTTTTGCCGCGGGCGCTCCCGCTGTCTAGCGGCTTCGGGTAGAATAAAACTTCAGTTCCACCTCTCGGGGCAGAGCGAGGGCACGGCGGGGCGGAGGGGTACCCGTAGTCCTCGCGGGGAATGCCTTCCTCGAGTGTGAAGGGCAGCGATAGCACCTTCGCTCTTCACGGGCGCTGCGGGCAGGAGGGGGAGGGCATCGCCCGCGCTGTCCCTCTCCTTCCTTCCGCCCCCCCCGCCGCGGGCACGCAGGTGTCGGACGGGGCTGTGCTGCCCGCAGTACCATGGCGGGGGCTGCGAGGGACGGCCCGGAGCGCCTGGAGGAAGAGGAGGAGAAGGTAAGCGGCTTCCGAGGGGAGAAAGTGACTGCCGGGGGTCCCGAGGCGCTGAGGGGTTGTCTGCAGCTTTCCGTCCTCGGTGTGAAGGCAGTGCGCACGTCGGAGGGGCTGTGACAGTGAGAGAGCTGAAGGAAGTAGTTCTTCAGCTCTTCGATCTCCCCTTCTCTGTCATCGAGAAGATCGATGTACCTCTGATGCTTTTCCTCGAAGACAACTCTTGCTCTCCTATTTGGCGGCTGGAGAAAAGCGCTTCACGCCCTGTGGCTGTCCTTCCCTCTAGGCGCGCGTGTCTGTAGCAGCACAGAGCTGCAAGGGCGCTGAGCTCCTCAGGCAGCCGCTCCCCATCGGTGCTGCGGGTGTGAGGCGGTCCCAGCGCTGCCATCCATCCCCGGTGTTTGTGGGGACAGAACTGAGGGGCGGCGGAAGGCTGTGTGCAGCCCCCTGTGTGCCTCTGGGGCATCAGGTAAACCTGGATGCTTTATAGCAGTCTGAGGAACGGTCAAACCGTGGGGCTCATCAGCACTGGGTGCTTAGGCTTGTGTGCAGTTTTGGTGTGAATTTAGGGGTTTACAAAGCAGGTGGGGGGGGTTCACAGAAGAAATGTGAACGTTTTGAAAAAAGATAAACCACCTTTGGCTCGCACAGCCCCTTGGCTCTATGCTGCTGGCAGCTGGAAGAGTATCCCAGAAACCTACTGCTGCATCCAGCCTTGGTGTGCCCTTCCAGTCATCTGCAGCTGAGCCCCATTCCTGCTATTTCCTCTGCTCGGGGGTGGGCTGATCACAGATTGCTTTGGGTTGGAAGAGACCTCGAAGATCGTCCATTTCCAACCCCTGCCACAGGGTAGGGTTGCCACTAAACCAGGCACTGGATCGGGTTGATGATGTCCCTAACGAACTAAAGAGAGTCTTCAAGACAGCTGACATGAGAGCTTAGGGATCCCACCTGTCACAGTGGCACTCCTGCTTTTAAGAGGACGCTGTATGGTCGCTCACAGAACAGCAGCTTTGACCATTAAAACTACGTTGAGAAAAAGCTGACTCAAAAGCTGCTCCTTGTTAGCTGCATTGTCACTGTTTCTCAGATAAAGCTGCGTTTATCTGGGGCTTCCAGGTTTTGCCCTCTCTTCTTGTTACTCTTAAATTACATGTTGCCTTGGTTCTGGACAGAAGAGATAAAGAACAGCTTAGGACCAAATGCCTGCAGCAGACCTTTGTGCCTGTAATGTTTCTGAAATATCTTCACACCATTGCAAAATGTTTTCAATGTAATTAAGACTTTCTTTTTTTTCCTAAAGTAAATAAGATGATCTGATGGGCTATTCAATTCCCATTCTGTTGGGGAACAGAAAATATAAAGCACTGAATTTGGTTTCACTCACAAAAGATCTAAAAATAAAGGAGCTACAGTGCATTACTTATTCTGCAACAATATATTTAACTCTATTTAAAGAGTATTATCAAATTTCTCACCTATTACACTGTCTTGGTTTACCTTGAAACAGAGTGAACTTGGATATGACTGGGGCATATATAAGTACAAAATTCTCAACTTAATCTGAAAATAGAAAATAACATATCTTAATACCACCTTTGTTTCTCTTACCTCCTACCCCATTCTCTCACCTTCCTTCCAAAACTCATAGAAACAATTGGGTGTTGCTGTAATTTGTATTCAGCTGCATTCTCACAGCAGAATTTTGAGTACAATCTCTTTGTATTTTGCCCCTTGATTACCGCTCACACACTCAGCTTTCTGTTTTCTGGAGTACTTTAGGCTTACAAACAAACTTACACAGGAAAAAGTTTTCACCAGCTTTCGCAGAAATCAGTTTCTGCTGCTCGAAGTAGCAACACAACAGGGACTTTGGTCACCAGAGCAACAAAGAAAACCTCCCTCAGCTGCTCACAGCCAGGCTATCACTGCACAGGTGCCATTTCAACCTTCTCATCCTTTAGGATGAGAGGTAATGGCCTTAAGCTGCACCAGGGGAGTGTTAGGTTGGGTATTAGGAAACATTTCTTCTCCAAATGAGCGGTGCTGCAGTGGCAGGGCTGCCCAGGGAGGTGGTGGGATCACCAAACCTGGAGGTGTTCCAGAACCATGGGGATGTGGCACTGAGGGACGTGGGCATTGGGCATGGTGGGGTGGGTTGGGGTTGGACTGTGTGAGGTCTTTTCCAACCTGAATGATTCTCTGATTCTCAAGACAATTTCTGGCATCATGCAATCCCTACAAAGGCTGGGGAGGCTTACTCACCCAAATCCTGTCACCTTTTCTAGTCTTAACTGTTGGCCCTGGAAGTTAGAAGGAACTTTCACTTCATGGGTGCAGAGACTCACTTTCCTTCCTACCAGTGCCTCAAAAATATTGAGGCAGAAAACATAACGATTACAGTAAAACTTAAACAGGAGTTTGAGTAACTATTTGAATGATTATTTGCAGTAGGGGGGACTGGGCAGCAAGTTTAAAATGAACCAAGTTCCTTCCACAGTACGTGTGATTCGTGTGTAGATCTTCTGTGACGTGTGTAGGTTGCTCCAAAAATAATGCCTCCCATTTATTTCCACGGAAATGACAACAGATACAAGGAACACAATAACACTGTTTGATAGATCAAATTCTCAGCTACAAAACACTATTTTTCAATATAGTCACCACCATTTGCATTTTTGCCAGCCATGAACAATCTGCACCAGTGGAAATGCATCACCCACCATCTCACTGAGCTGACGTCCACTGTTTGGTATCCACAAACATCCAGCAAGCATTGATTAATGTCAGTGGGTTCCATTTTTTCCACACCTTTGCTTCATACGCACTTCCACATCAGCCCTATTCTGTCAGACTGCTCCACTGCTGCCATCACCAATCTGGAGCAGAAGTGAGACCTGCTGCGGTGACACCAATTTGCAGCAGTGTCCTGATACTGTTTGCTTGACTTATGCACATAATGGGATGCCACCTATAGCAAAAGTGGTGTACATGTAACTAAGCCAGTAACGAGAGCTGTGATTAGCCTGAGACTTTTTCTCTATAGATGCAGAACAAGGGAAGTGTCCTGATACTGTGCTCACTTCCTCACACCCACTCAGATAAAACAGTTCAAAGGAGAACAATTAGATGATGAGAGGCTCTGTCTGGAAGTCTAAAACGTATCAAAACTCTATTATGTAGTGAAGGTGATGGTGCTAAGTACATTTTATAACATTCAGAAGTGAGGTAATGCATCTGAATATTATCATCATTTGGGATCTCATTACCATATCTCTATTTTTATCTTGATCTAATGAAAGAATTTAGGGCTTGTGTATTCAGTTCAGAGACATAGCAGAGGCAAGATTAACACTGCTGCTCTCTTGGTTTCTCCTGACAGAAGTCTTTAAGGGGGGATGGAATACGTGTGAAACTTCTCAACACTTGGGTTGGATGTGTTGTCCCTACAAAGGAAATACAGAATTAATAGAGCCACTGTCTTCTGATATTTTGAGTCTTACATAATTAAATTGATTCTCAGATATTTTTAAAAGCTTTCTGGTATTTTTTTTTTACTAGTGGAAAGAACAGCATTCTTCATTAGAATTTCTATTACACTGTCCATATTTTGTCTTTTAATTAAGAATTTTAAACCTTCTTTTCAACTTTTATCATACCTTTATTTGTCATTTTGATTAAAGAATATTCTTGGATGCTTATGGTACTTTTCAAACACATCAAAATGCAACTGAAGGAGCACAGTTTCTCTATTATGTCAATTTTCATTGATTTAAAAAAAAAAAAAAAAAAGATGATACAGAGTCAAGTTTTCCTGCAAGACCCTCACCAGGAACCTGTGGCAAATTGAGGAAGGAATGGGACACAAATCTTTGGAATGTATTTAGTCTGCCTTTGACTGTAGATATTTTCCACCTCTTTGAATGTCGTCTAATGATTACTGTAAGAAAGCACATACAGTTATCGTGGTCTGAAAGATTCATACAGGAAATTATTTTAAAAGGAACAAAAATAAAAGGAAAGATTGTGGTGTTTTTAATATCTGAATTGAGTGCTCTATTTTGTTTCTTCTTGCTTGTTAACGGGTTCCTTTTTAATAGTTTATGGGAAGCAGGTAGGCAAACCTAGATGCCATTGTAGGAAAACCATGGTTTGCTTTCAGATGCTGAATTAAGAATCAAAACTGTTAAAAAACGAAAAAAGAATGAGCATTCCAATGATTGTAGGGGTTTAGGGCACATGGCTTTGTTAATGGAATACCCGTGAAGCAAATATATGATTTTGGTGTTAGCCTCAGACTTTAACGTTTGGATTTGTGTTGTTTTTATGTGTGTACCTTGGTTTTCTCACCAGTTGTTCTGTTTGTTCTTGCACAGGAACAAGGGCTGTCTGTTTGCAGCAAGCTATGCTATGCCATAGGAGGTGCCCCGAATCAAGTGGCAGGAAGTGCAGCTTCCTTCTTCCTGCAGATCTATCTGCTGGATATAGCCCATGTAAGTAGCATAAGAGACCTTTACAAATTGTAGATTTACCTCAGCTTTGATGTCGTTTACAGTATCCCTAGAACTACGGAGGGTAAATTAGCCAATAATGCTTCTAAATTTTCTTCTTAGCCTTGCCTTTAGCTGTTCAGCATACTGGAAGCTGAATAAACTTCTTTGGAAACATTTCTTCAGTTTCACTAGTTTCCTTTCTGCCTTGAAGTGGCCAACATTTTTATGATTATTAATTATTCTTTGTAAATAAAGCTGAGTGATCCTTCCTGAAGGTTCTCTGCTGTCAGTTTGTGCAGAAGCAGACCTGGTGAAACAAAGCAGTAGGAGTCATCCTATTCATATGACTTTCAGCTGCTCCAGCTGGATTCTGGGACAGCAGGGAAACAAAGAAAATGATTCTATAAGCATCTTTTTTATTGGTTTGAATGGTCTTGTGTGGCTTAGTTACCTAGTGGTGACTAGGTGAGATAGATAAAGTTTCATAGTGTAGAAGAAAAGACTTTTAGGGAGATGAGGCCAAATTGCAGGGGCTGTGAGAAAGCTGTGGCTTAAACTGTCATAGATTTTAGCACAAATACCAAAGCTTATGCTTAATGGTTTTCCTACAGAGGTCTAATATAAAAAGCTGAGGTTATAAAGGAAAAACTAAATCCTGTAAATTACTTAATACAGTTGGCCACAGAATAAGATAGGCATGTAAAACGGAGATCTCAAATGTCTGGTTGAGGCTGAATTCACAGGATTTGGAAAGTGGGCCAGATTTGGACAGCAGTGTCAAAGATGTGAAGCGTATGCTGTGGAGTCTGAGGACAGCTGGATGTGGGAGAAGTAACTTCCTGGAGATGCAGTAGGAGGTGGATGCAGCTCTGACCTCTCTTGATTTTTACTTACATCAAGGATGGCAGTACAAGCCATTGGAGATGATGAAGCAGGAACTGGGTGAGAAAAACACTAATATGATTTTCCTAGCATGCTTCTAAATACTGGAATTTGCCCATCCTCTGCCAATCACAGAAACTGGAAATTCTAGAACTTTTGTTTATTTGTATTTGTGTACAGTGTTCAGGAAGCTGGGGTCCCATTCTCCAATCTCTGAATACCACCTAAAAATAACATAATTATTTTTGTTAACAAGCTTCTACTGAAAACCAATAATTTTGTTTAACATTTGTAATTATACTTTTATTACCTCAGTAAGAGCCTGAATTATTAAACCTTGATGGTTTAGTTTGTTCTCTGAAGTAATTCTTCATACAACTTTTTCAAGACAGATCAAGAGCTTTCTAAGTCTTTTTTTCCACACATTTCCAGGGGAGAATATGTCATCTTATAGGCAGTACCTGAATTTAAATCTTACCCACTTAGAGGGCAGATCTGCTACAGCTCTTTCTGGGAGGCTGTGCATAAAGCTTCATGTGTAATCTGGGCCCCTTCTGAGAAAATTACATTTGTATTCACTTTCTGTAGCTTATACTTTCCATTTCAATTCCATGTCCCATCTAAATTACCTGTATAAACTACAGGTTTGTAACTGCAAACCACATGAAATCCTTGAGTCAAACTACTAGAAAACACTAAAACCTCAGATATTACGATACCGGTCTTTATTTCTTTTGAGATGGATGAACAAGGGGAAATGGCTTCAAGCTTAAAGAGGGTAGATCTAGATTGGATGTGAGGAAAAGGTCTTTTATAGTTAGGGTGGTGAGGCACCAGAACAGATTGCCCTCTGTTCTGTTAGGGTGGTGAGGCACAGAGATGTGATGGATAACCCCTTCCATGGAGACTTTCAAGGCCAGGCTGGACCAGGGCCTGGGCAACATGATCTAGCTGTGGTGTCCCTGTTCTTTGCAGGGGAGTTGGACTAGATGGACTTCAAAGGTCCCTTCCAACTCTAAGGATTCTATGAATTTAGCATGTTATTTCTTGTTCTGTGTTATCACTGAGAAGCTGTTGATGTTAGTGCTGACAGAGAGTGTTTAAGTTTAAGGACTAAGAAAATGCAGCTAAGGGATGCATAAGACCTTTGAGAAGATGAAAACAGGGACACCATGTTAAGACTCAACTCAACATATGAGAGATTTTAATTTTCATCAAGGCTTTCTTCCACCTCTGTTTATTTAGTATCTACTTCCTTTCTGTCTATTCACTTTATCTAAACAAAACACCAATGAAAAATTCACCTGATTTGAAACTTTCTGCCTGTATATCCTTCATCAGTGCAGTATTTCAACCACTGTATCTTTCTGACTCATTGCTCTTTTGTTCTTTTAGCCACCCTGGCTATAAGAGGGCACAAGTAGCTGAGCTGGACATCAGCAAGCTGCTGTGGCACCCAGCCCAGCATCCAGACAGTGCAGCAATGGGATACATGGAGTGCCACTGCCATTGCCTGCTAGAACACCAGTCTCAATCCTCCCTTGTTCTTAAGCTTTCTAGGGTGAGCTATATGTCTGGGAGCTGGCAGTGTGAGGAAGATTGGCTATTCCTGCAATTCCAGCTAATCTGGGCTGAAATTTAACAAGTGTTGTTATGGAAATGCATAACATCTGTCTTCACCAAAGTCACTCACGATACTTCAGATATTGTTTCTTTTTGTCACTTCTGAGGAAATACCTGCAGCAAGTTCTTAGAACAGGGAACCAGCTGGAAGCTGTGTGACAGTGCCTGGGAAAGAACAGCAAGCTCAGCAGATAAGCAAGGAACGCTAACCCAGGCTTGGTGTTGCATTAGCTGCATTCACCAGGCTTCCTGCTGAGTTAAAGAACTTCTGACATGAAGGAGCATATAGATGAAGGTTATATTTTCTGCAGTTGCTCTCTAAGTTCACTAGTCTGTTTCAGTGGGCTCTCTCTATATATTTTAGAGATTTAAGAGAACATTTATCATTACATAGGCTTCAATGACTTTTATTTTTTTCCAGGCCTATAGTTTTAGTGGCATGAACTAGACACTTCAAGGAGAAATTACATTTTTTTATCCACTCTGTGATATGAATTCCTAAAGTCTCTACAGATGCAATGGAAAAATAAATACATTGCCCAGGCTAAACTGTAATTCTATACATGCACTTAATTATGGTTAAACTTCAAACTTGGCTATTTTATTCACATATAATGCATGAACATTTTTCAAGTGAGGTTTGTTGGATGTGCAATGGTAACTTTGAACAGATGTGCCTTATGCAGCTGAGTGGATAGAATCTACTGTGCTGCAGCCTCTTCCAAGCCACACTCCACCAGCTAGCAGCCTTAATGGTAGTCTCAGGAGGTGAACAAGCCCAGATGCATGCAGACACTTACCTCTGCTTATATCTGCTTCAGATCAAGATGGTGATCTAGAAATGTATGAGGGAAAAGTTACAGAGATGCTCTGTCAGATTTAATATCTAAAACAAGGACTTTGGTCTCCTGTTTGACTCATTTTCCTCATTCTGAGCACATCTATAATCTCACCTTCCTTGCGTTTTTCCTCTGTAATCCCATTTTGTCTCAGTGTTTTGGTTTTTTTGCTATGGGAAACCAGAAACCAGTAGGAATTTCTGTGACAGCAACAGGCATGTTTTGTAAATGAACTAACATTACTCTTTAAAACACCAAGGTTCTTTCTGGAAAGTTGTTTTATGCTGTTTCATTGTACTGTGGAACAATAGCTCGTGTTTAGAGTACTGTGTTTGTATTTTCAGATTACTCCATTTCATGCCTCTTTGGTGCTGTTTATTGGCAAAGCCTCAGGAGCTGTTACTGATCCCGTTGCTGGCTTTTTTATTAGCAAAAGTAGATGGACAAAAATTGGCCGGCTCATGCCTTGGTAAGCAGAAATCTGTACATGTATTTATACCTATATGTATAAATATTTTGTGTATGTGTGTTTTAAGACCATACAGTCATCTTACTGAGTTATTTTTTCCTTGCCTGTTTCCCAACAACTGTGATTGTATTATTTCTACATATATAAAAGCAAAAAAAGAAATTTTCATGTCATCTATTTCCCTTCAATTTGTTCATCCATGGAAAACAACAAAAAGATTTTCTGCAACTGGAGAAACAAACAGATAAAGCCAAGACACTGCACTGTTAACAAAAGTGGAATCTCATGTGTAAAACCTACTTGGCGACTGAATTTTCATCTCTGGCTAAATTCCATTTAGTTTGGCTTCACTCCTTCACAAAGCTGGAGTGAGTTTCTACTTGTGTCCTAGCGTGCCATCACTTCTCACATCAGCCTTCCAAGAGTTCCCTTAGCTTTAATTGGCTAGGCCTTCCAAATCAGTAAAGGACATGTGCATACGTGTGGAGCAGATGTGACACCATGGCATTGAAGGGCCCAGCAGCTAGCAGTGTCTGACACTGTCTCATTCTTCCTAACAGCAGTCATTCTGGTTCTGCTCCTTTTACATCTCATAATGAAAATAGCTAACTAAAAAATCACAATGACTTTTAAAGAGGAATTAGGTGCTCTAGGATTTGATCAGCACTTCTAAAGGGACTAAGGGATGTTTCACTGTGACATGCTTATCCCTTGTATGCATTCTAGCTATTATTGTCCAGCAGAATCTGCACAAGTTACACTGGTCCATGTGCTGCACTAGCAGAATCATTGCTCATCTGGGAAGGAAATTGACAAGTGTGAAGCAAAAAATTGGAAACGAGTGGTTTGTGTTAGAGGAACCTAAGCTCATCCACGACAGTGGACGTTTAGAAATCATAGAGTCATTTGTTAATTTCAAGTTTTATTTTAGAAGTCAAGGAGAGACTAAATAGTTTGTGAAACGGGAAGCCTTTAATCACTGCTCTGTCTCATTCATTGTGAATATTGCCACATATTTTGAACTGGGAACTGGGCTTGTTTAGCTTGGAGAAGAGAAGGATCCAGGGAGACCACATTGTGGCCTTCCAGTACTCGAAGGGAGTGTATAAACAGGAGGGGGAACAGCTGTTTATGAGGGTGGATAGTGATAGGACAAGGGGGAATGGTTTTAAATTGAGACAGGGGAGGTGTAGGTTAGATCTTAGGAAGAAGTTTTTCCCCCAGAGGGTGGTGAGGCACTGGAACAGGTTGCCCAAGGAGGTTGTGGATGCCCCATCCCTGCAGGCATTCAAGGCCAGGCTGGATGTGGCTCTGGGCAGCCTGGTCTGCTGGTTGGTGACCCTGCACACAGCAGGGGGTTGAAACTAGATGAGCATTGTGGTCCTTTTCAACCCAGGCCATTCTATAAGTCTATGATTATTTCCAGAAGGATTTTTCCTATTTGTCTTCTTTGTAATGGCAATCTTTTCATGAGAATTTGGCTCTTATGCTTTGGCATTTAGGTTGTTTTTATGCAAGGAAAAGAATGTGTCTCCTGTTAGTTAAAAAATACATTATTATTATTTGTCCAGAGTGAAGTGATGGAATTGGTTCAGTCAGAAAAGTTTGCCTACAAAGCACAGACATTAGTAAAGGGGCCAAAAGTTGAAGTATAGCTTAATGCTATACTTAACCTGGTAGGAAATCATCAGTCATTACTGATCTCTTGTATATAATGTGTTTAAAACACAGGAGCAGACAATGACTTAAAATACACAAACCCAGTCAAATATTTTCTCAAGGGAGTTAACAGCAGTAGATCAGCAAGTTTGATGAGACTCTGAAACCAAGTGAAATTAATGAGGGAAGGAAAATGTGGGAAGAATACTGCTAAGATGGGTATTGCTGAAAAACACAAAAAAGGACCATAAAAAAATGTCATTGTGGTGACTTCCCTGTCCCTGGAAGTGTTCAAGGCCGGATTGGATGGGGCCCTGGGCAGCCTGGTCTAGCATTAAATGAGAAGGTTGGTGGCCCTGCATGTGGCAGGGGGGTTGGAGCTTCATGATCCTTGAGGTCCCTTCCAACCCTGGCAATTCTGTGATTCTGTGACTCTGGACAGCAGTCTGGAACAGCTCACTCCATTATAGAAGAAGGTGGATTCCCTGAGGTGTGTGAGGATTTTACCATTCTTTGTGTTTTCCTTTTGCTGACCAGCTGGAAACAAGCTGTGGCCTGAGCACTGAAGAGGCAGAGAATAGCAGAACCTGGCACTTTCCTTGTGGAGGTTCAGCGCCCAGTGATGCCATCCATCCCCACAGAGCAGTGTGGGAAAGTCATTGTTTTACTGAACTATTGACACTCTTTTGTTGCTCTTTTGTATGCCACGTTTTCAGTTCACGATTGCAAAATAATCAGCTGACCCCAAATGTCGGTAGCGCTGCTGTGAAGGGATTAATCTGTTTTCTCTTTTGTGTGTTTGGATATTTTTTTACTGGAACCTTGGTCATCTAATTACGTTGTTTAATATGTGGTTCATAAGGCTCTGATGCTGCCGCAACTCGGACTTTTAGGAAATAATAGCATTTGATAACTTCTTTCATATCATTGAGTTTGAAGTGTTGTTTGCCTGAAATAATCCTTAGACCAAATGTATTTCATTACTGTTAGGTGTCTGGAATTGAAGTTTCTGCAGTTCTGTTTTTAAGCCACTTTCCTCACCAGATGACGCTCCTTTTGTTTTTCGAGTGATTAGGAATTTTACTGTTGAGTAAAATGGAGTAAATTGTTGTATACCAAGGTAGATATAGACCGTAACTGTGAGCAATCTGTTGTCTTTTATGCTGTTTCCAGCATTTTTAAGTACATCAACATATTTGCATTTGTTTGAAGTAGCAGTGAAGAGGCCAAGTTCAAAGGAAAACTGAAGGAGTTAAAATTCCAGCAAGGAATCCTTCATAATAAGTAAGCTCATGTAAACATTGCTAAAGTTTGTTATGACGTGACAAGAGGGCTTAGCTCTCAGTGAGTCTTTTAACAAAGATGTAGTCTGAGGCATGTGCTAAGGCATGGCAGTGCAGTTGTGCTGTTACAGTGCATGTGCATGGTGATTGTGTCCATTCTGAATAGGCTATAAATTGAAGTATAGCAGTTCTCCTTCAGATTTGACATTTTATTCCATTTTGTGGAAGTATATGCCTACAAATTTACATTAATTTGTGCATTTAATGCTTAAAAGCACATCTTCATTGTGTTTTGGAAAAACACATAATACAAATTGCACGATATCAACTATTAGCAGGAAAACATACTATGCTTTGCCATCATGATGTTGAGATTGTTGGCATGTGTTCCTTTTCTTTGCAGGATGCTGGCATGTACACCCTTCACAGTAGTGTCCTACTTTTTCATGTGGTACCTGCCTCCTTTTGTATCAGGAAGGGTTGTATGGTACTTGACTTTCTACTGCATTTTTCAAGCACTGACCACAGTAAGTAGATTACAAGTCATGGTGTTCTCAGCAGTTTTGGTTTTTTTTTCCTGTCTGTTTCATTGCATTCCAGTTTAGTAAACTGAGGTTACCAAACCTTTTCATTATATTTCAACTTCTAGTATCTTTTAAGGCCTAGGCAGATAGATGTCCCTTCATCAAGCTCTCTGCTGGTCAACAGTTCCTGCCCAGGCTTTCTCTGTCAAATGGTTTGGCAATTCAGCCAGATTACCTCCAGTCACTTTCTCTGGCAGTTGAGGCTAAGGCAATAATTTAGTGCCAAAGGGTTTGAGAAGCCTGCATGTGAATCATAGAATCATAGAATGGCCTAGGTTGAAAAGGACTGCAGTGCTTATCTAATTTCAACCCTCCTGCTACGTGCAGGTTTGCCAACCACCAGACCAGTCTGCCCAGAAAGGGAAAGGAGAAAGGGGAGCATACTTCCCCTGAAGCACATTTGGGGAAATATGGTGTCAGAAACCATCTCAGCTTTTTGGAAAATTAGTCTGATGGCCTTAGACATGAGTTCATTCTTGCATAAATCCACAGAAATATTTAGATTCCTAAATTGCAGTTATTCATCCAGCTTCTTGTAACTTCTTTTGGCAGAATAGGAGACAAATGGATTTGTGGCTCCAATTCTGGATTTTTTGTCTCAAGGTGAAAGGCAAAGAGTCCCAAAGCTGAAATAGCACTGCTGGTAGTCATCATGATATTTATGCCTGGATAGAAGTGTTTGAGCACATGAATTTTTGCACTGTGTTGCATGATGTGCAGTGTGTACATAGAAACCATTATTTTAGAAGGTCCCAGAGAACTTCTTCAATGATTCCATGCACTACGTGCAGGATTGTATCACCTGGTTCTGCCTTATAGCAAATATCAAGGTGAAACAAGGTATGTTCAATGTCTCACAGCAGGCAAAGACGGGTAGTGAGGCACCTGCATTGCAATGTAGCAGGTGGTTGAATTTTGCTGGATCATAGTTTGAAAAAGGAGTTCCCAGACATTTGAAGAATAACACAGTGAAAGAGATATTGAAATATTTGGGAGATTATGCAGTCTTTTGGCTTTAATAAGGTGGAATGCTGTACTGTCTTCATTATGGCTCTGTTTCCTGCTAGTTAGCTCAAGCTAGGAAAGTGATTCTCCTATTGCAAATAAAACTAGATGCTTTATAGCCTGATTATAAAGGACTTTTTCCCATGGAAACTGGAGGAATACAGCATAAAGGTAAAGCCTCTTGTTTACTTATTATTTATTATTTGTATTATGACAGAGATTATTTTTCCTCATATACACTTCATGAATCAGGAAGAAAAGACAGGTCTTTGTGCTAAAACATGCAGCATTCTAAATAAATGAATCCTATTGTTGCATTAAATCATTTTCCTGGATATCAGTGAATTTAAACATTTACTCTGAAATGTCTTATGTGATGTTCTTTTTTTTGCCTAGTTATTCCAAGTACCATATTCTGCTCTCACCATGTTTCTCAGCACAGACCAGAAAGACAGAGATTCTGCAACAGCGTACCGTGAGTGTGATATGAGTTATTTCATGAGAAATGGGGCTGTGTTCTATTTAAAATCATTTGCTAGCTATAGGGAATTCCTAATATTCAGTGTCCCTGAACTGGACTTTTCCTTGAGACTTCAATGAAAAATATTTTGTCCTGTAAAGACTATCATTTTTCTATCTCAATAGGAGATATTAATGTTTTATTGTCTCAGACTGTCTGATTAGGTATGAATTCTTTTCAATTTATTGCAAAGCCAGAAGACAAAATTACCAAGACCACGGTAGGGAATAATTATTTCATTGAAGGATGGTTTGTAGAGGTAAAAAACGAAGGGCTGATCTCCTTCTATGTTTAATTAAATAAAGCCTCAAAGTAATTTTTTTTTAATTTGTTTTTAGTTTGCATTTCTGTGGGTTTATGTGTTTCACACTTAAACTCAAAATCCCAACCTCTGAAACCTTCCAATCTCTGAAAAATTTCTCTGCAAAATAGAACCAAGGCAGTTGATCTCACCAAGAAAAAAAAAAAAAAAAAGGAATAAATTTTGTGCATGTTCACCCATTAAAATCTTTCTTTTTAATTTTATCTATACCTATTTAATTCTAACACATTCCAGGTAATTTGAAGAAAGGTCTTATTGAAATATTACTAGCACTCAGACTGTATCCATTAAAAGAATGACAGTTTCCAGACCATATCTCCAGCTCTTAAAAAATCAAAACCAGACAAAGATTTTACTTTGAAGCAAATTGATCAAATCAAGAAAGTGCAAGGAAAATCTTTTCAAGATTTCCTGTGTAGACCATAAATTGTGTGTAAGAACAGTTTCTTCCCTTACTGTTCTCTTTAGCTCTGTTCTCATGCCTTCTTTATTATGTAACTGCTGTCTCTCACGTCTACCAGCATTAAGGAAGGCAATGAGAAAAAAGTGCTGAAACATCACATGAAAGATTTTTTCTCTGTCCCAGCCTGTTTTTCAGTGGTGCTTTAGAACAGTTTCTGATTTCCTTTTTTGTTTCATCTGTTCTTTCTTCATGGCAAGAACCCTTTTAACAGACAACGTAGTTGCTTGATTATATTGAAAACTAAACCATAGAGGCACAATGATACAGCCAGAAGTCCTAAAATTTCACATCAGAAATTCTAAATGTGGTATTCCTTGAGCAATACCATCCTTCTTCATCCACATGGAATATCTGCAACTAACATTATCATCACAGAGGTAGTAGTCAGAGGATAGACCTAAACAGCAGGAGATTCCAGTTGTGTTATATTCTTTGGCAGTGGTTCTGTATCCTGAGTCATCTGGCTGAAATTCTAACTAAATCCACATACTTAGTATTTTCTGTTGTCTGACTTTACGTCTTCAGAGGCTGTTATCCAAATAAATGTGTTTTCCTATATGCTAGTCCAATATAATGCCTCACAGGCATGTGAAATTCTTGCTCATAAATGCTGTTGACTTCCATGGGTGAGAGACACTTATAATGTCATTTTACTGTTCAGAAAAGTGTCTCAACTTTCTAATGTACAGCTCTTCCAGTAAGACAATTTAGGGTGGTGCAATGAACCGTAATTTTGACTTTTCAAATGTTGGTGTTTTTGTGTGTTTTGAAATAGTATTTTTTTTAGACAAGTTTTCTTGGAATGGTTATGACCACATAAGAATCTTTTTACTTTTTTTTTACAGGGCCTTAATTAAACACTCTTCTCTTACCTCTACTTGAGTTTCATAAAGAATTAATTCTTGGTCGTAGAAATTTTTGGTTGCAGTCTATTGTTCAGATATTCTTCAACTGCTTTAAGAAAAGCAGTTGTATAATATGAAGTGTACTTCAGAAAAACGAAAGCTTGGGATCAGAGGATCCACTACCCTCTACTGGAGACAAGCAGAATTGTTTATCATAAATTTTCCCCTACTCTTTCTTGTAAATATATGGCAGAAATACTGGATTCCAAAGTTGCTTTAAGATAAATCCTACTTACATTCTGTGCATATTAAAACCTACTCCAACATATAATCTACTTCCTGAAGGATCTGCTTTGCTGCCTAAGGTGGAAAATGATATGTTATAAATTCTGAGCACGCAAGAACTTTGAAATCTGCTTGTTTCTCAGCTCCTGGTACTTTTCAGTAAATAAGTTTCATGTTAGTTGTATCTATGTTGCCTATAATGAATTTTCTGAGTTTTAGTGTATGATCCTATGATGCTGTTAAGAACAGCATCTGCTGTTTTCAAGAGCTTTACAGTTGTATTATTTCCTACAGAAGCCTGTGGTAAGTATCATTTCATTTTACCATGAGAGAAGCCCAGAGATCTAAGCAGATAAGTGGCTTGCAAAATGTTTCATGAAGTTACTGTCAAACTTGAGATGAAAAGTCTCATGTTATGGCTCCTAGTTGTGCTTTGAAAAAGTGGCACTCAGTATTTGATTTGTAGTTCAGCTCTTGTCCATGAGATGAAATGTTTCTGTTATCCCCTTACAGCTCTTAATCCCAGCCATACTCATCACACAGCCTGTGTGTAAAAAAAGCTCTTCCCATAGAAGCTTCTAAAAGCTGATCAGAAAACCAGTTATAAAACTCTCTTCCCTTGACACTATTCTATTACTGACCTTCCAGTTCAGCTGTTCTTCGTACTGTTTTTCTGTCTGATCCATATGAAAGAAAATGGTATTGCTTTAATGAGGTTGCTTTTCAGTGAGGTACATGAGCAGGCTTGTAAACAGTGGAGGAATCAGGTTCTCATTCTCAGCACACATTTGTGCTTCCTTCTTTAGGAATGGCAATGGAAGTCCTTGGGACCTTGGTTGGAGCTGCACTTCAGGGGCAAATTGTGGCCAGTGCTCATCTCTCTCATCACTGCACTTTGAATCCCCCAGTAAACACCACCAGCCCTACCCTCTCTTTGAACAACACTTCTGTCTTTCCCGAGCCTTCAGACCCCTTGTCTCATCAAGTAAGTGTCTATGGGAGGATGCTAAAATCTCTTAGGGAGAGGAGTGTGTTCTTGCTGTAAGACCACATCACATTACCCAGCTGGATAAGCATGAACATGACTTCCTTGAAGCCAGCAGTGCTGGAGCTGAGGCAACTGCCTTGTTGAAGGACAAGGCTTCATATCTGTTGTATTTGCAGCCTATTCTCATTGTGACAGCAGAATTATACTGAGGAGCTTTACTGATGATACTGACGTGTGAAGTAACTAGAAGGTAGGTACCTACACTTTGTTTTCACTAGAGGCTGATCTACAGTTTAAAATAGAAACTTAGTAAGAAAAAGAGTCTGTAGCAGAATCTTTCGGTTCAGCAAAACTGCTTTTCAAAGCAGTAGTAGGCATCTGCTGTGAAGATTAATGGCTGGTACATGCAAGAAGCTGTAAATCCTACTTTGAATCCATATTCTTGGGAAAGTACAAAAGACAGTTGATAGTAAATGATAGGTAACGGGGAATAAGTGGAAGCACTTCTCCATGAAGAAGCCTTCTTTGACCTCAGTTTAATCTCAGCTGCACGCTGCAAATCAGGATGTATGTATTTGTAAAATCAGGATGTATGTATTTGTAGCCAGTGCTCTCCTTACTGTATTTAAATCACTACTATTACCACTTTTCAGCAACAGGAAAATCACAAGCTAAAGACATTCCACAAACACTTTGAATTTGCACACCTTGGCACCAGCACAGGAAGGTGACCAACCCATGCATCCCCCCCATCTCAGACACTGCTCTCTCCTACTTCTCCTTTTGTTGGCACAGACCATTGGACGTCTTCTCAGATAAATTATTTGAGAAACTGACTGGGGAGATCTGAGCTGCTTTTCTAAGTGGCAGTGCCATTTTATAGATGATTAAAATGTTTTTGAAGCTGCTCATTAGGTAACTTCTAGTGCATGTTTTAACAAGACACAGAACATCATTCTTCCTTTTTAGCTTCTAGGGGACAATGGCTTACTGTAGAAAACTGCTGTGCTATTACAGATCTGTGAATTGTGGAGACAAGTAGCTTGAGGAGTTGCAGAGCAAGCTGAATTTCATTGCACAGCAGATTCCTCTGAATCTGCTCTATGCCATAATCACCAACTTCCACTTTCAAATCTCCTAAGTGGCTTTCAAGGAAAAAAATATATATGATTTTGATTTATTTTCTTTCTAGCCACATGTTCTTTCCTGTGCTTTTGGACATAAAAGGGAGACAGAGGAAGAAGCTTCACAATGCAAGTCGTTTTTTTTCTTTGGAAAGAAAAAATCTAAGTCTGGACTAGTAAAAGTTTGTAGGTGGAAGTAATATTTTTAATTCAACTAGCTCCTAACACTGAGAAACAATGCAGAAGCATTTAGGCAGACATTTAGGCAGACAAACATTTCAGATCTGCTTCTATTTCAGATCTGAAGAAGTAGGACTGTAAGGTTGTCTCTCTGTCTTTTTTTTTCCTCGACTGCAGGTCGATTTAATTAAAGATACCATCATTTTATAGATCTGTTCTTGGTTATATCCTCCTTTTAACGTTATTTCTATACCTTTAACACTATCCTAAAATACTGTTTTGCAAACTTACTTAATCAAAGGATAAAAAGTATGTGAGTGTTTGCTTATTTCTTTTATTTTATTCATTTCATTTCCCCATTTACATGCAGGCAAGTGTTCATTTATCATGAGTTTTTTGGGTTTGTTTGGTTTTTTTTGTATGTTTGTTTGGTTATTTTGTTATATATTTTAATTTTCCCTCTGTTCTGTGTGTCACCGTCTCAAGTTTTGTAGAAGAGTAGTGTCCCATGGTTGAGAATGGTCTGAAATATGGTGTCTGCTGTTTTGTGTGGGAAAGGCTCTGTTCTCTCCTTGTCTTATGCTGCCCTTTTTCCCCAGAAAACCCTCAGGTATGGGCAGAAGCCGTAGTGTAAATGAAGTGCTCTGGCAACCTGCCTCACTCCCTACTACCCAGTTTTGTGAGAATCCCAATTTTTTGCCATTTGCATAACCTGACATCAGTTTCACTGTAGTATGAGAGCATGCCTGGCCACCAACACACACAAGAGAGCTGCTTTATATGGCACGACAGGGCACTTGCCTTTCATTTACATGATGTGCAAACAGAACGTGCACCCAATTGGATGATTGACTGGAGACACTGAATCTTGATTGTATGAGTGGTGGACAATCATTTATAAGTTAAGGAATGGATAGGGTCTATGAACATATGTACACATATATTTATATTTAGAAGAGGTGAAATCTTGATGATTTCTCTTAGAGCCATTTGGGAGAATGACCCTAATCTTCGTCACCAAAAAAAAATGAAATACACAGCTTAGAAAAGCAGATCTTTCCTAATGCAAATCACACATGGACATTGATATAGGCTAAAGGGCAAGGAGGATCCAGGTAATTACAGGCCAGTCAGCCTCAC